GCGGGAGGTGTTGGGGGGGATTATGTCTGGCCATGGTTTAGGAGTGTTTGTCATCTGCCCCCTCGAGGCCTGCACCGGCTTCTTTGTCTGAGCGTCAGGCGTCGGTACAATGTTAAATTATACAATGTATAATACCCCCATGCAAACAGGGCATCTAGGGTGAGGCAACAGCCTCAGTTTTGTGGTCAAAACTTAACCGATGTTCTGAATTATATCGAATCTTTTTTTTTTTTTAGATTTTAACCGAATCATCACATGCCAGTGGTCTGCTCATGCAAAGAAAAAAAAAAAGCCTCATTTGTCATCTAGCAACTCTGCTACTGTGATGAATCCATCATTTCATTCCTAATGACTTTTCATATTCCAGGCTCTGTAGCTTCATTTGTTCTCCAGCCTCATTCAAAGTTGAATTTGACAAAGAAAAAAAAATAAGCAAACCAATTCCCTTATGTCTCTGGTAACATTTTATTAAAATGTCTTTTAAAGCGCACATGCTAATAAAAAAAAGGGCAATTTATGTTCCTTTTATCCCGTACTAATTTTAAGTGCATATATAACCCACATGTCATAGGCCAGTACTTCTTCTTCTGGTTTTTATAAAGTCCTTATCTTACACAGTTGGTGTAAAGTTCAATTTTAATGGTCTAGAAGGTGTTTCCATGGTTTCACACAGCCCCACTTTGTATGAAATTTAAAAAAAAAAAAAGATCTGTTCTTTTCCTCACAGTGCCAAACAAAGAACGTTCTGAGCCCTGGCCAAATATCGCAACTTCCATTCAGGACGAACAAAAAATGTTCTGATGTGGACTATGAAGGAAAAACCTCCCAGTGACTGATAACAGTTCTGCAGGATTTAGTCACTGTGGGATAAACGGCTTCTGTGGCTTCCACATCAAGTGAATGGGCCATTTCAGGCAGCAGGAAATGACACGCATTCCTCTCTCACAGTAACAAAATCAAGCTAAATTGATAGAAAGTGTGAGGGTGAGATTTACCGTCTCCACGTCGGAGCCACGTACAGACTTTTTCAATCAAAATCAATACAAAAATTGCCATTGTTGCTTATGCTACACGTCCAAACTGAAATGACTTTGGGAAAACGATCCTTCGTATCTCAGTGTTGTTTTTTATTTTGAGAATAATTAGGGAGTGAGGAACACAGTCACCGACATTTACCCCATGGAGGGAACAAAGCTTTTTGCAACACAAGCAGATATCAAGCTGACGTTTATGCGTTCATGTGAATCCCATTTTGACTAATGAGGAAGGAAACAGTTTGACCTGGATATCTCCACTCACTCACTCAGTCAGTCAGTCAGTCAGTGAGTCTGACTCACTACAGCACTGACTACTGACTACTCACACAGCGCTAATAATGCCTACTTTCGAAAGGCAACCGCGTCTGCACAGAAGCCGCTTCATCTCAGCGATGACTCAAAATTTAAGTTTCTTTTGGTGTTTGACCCACTTCAGTCACACAACGTCCTTATTCCACAGAAATTATCATAAGTGTTTCACAAGTACGAAAATAAAAGTCGACTTGATCCGCCTTCCCGATAGTGTTATTTTTAAGCTTCTAAATATTTTCCACTTCATTGGCCTGCGCCTGAAGGTACTTTAAAAACATTTTCATAAAGACGTCTGAAAAAGGCTCTTGAGATTTTTTTTTTAATGACGGGTTTTAAAGAAATGCTAAATAAGTCACATCAATTCGAGTAAAGGAGTGAAGTATTTACACTCGTGTGCAATTGAGCTTTCAGTAGATCAGGGTGGCCAAAAGTAAAGTGTTAATTTAAAAAAAACAAAAACAAATGTAGAACCAGCTACTGGGTGTAAATGTTTTTGGCAGATATTAAAGAATTATTTGCAGCGTTTCCAACAACAAAGTCTCCTGAAGAGGCGAGAAAATTGAAAGAATTAAATCTTCTGCTTACATCAAAGAACAAAAACGCTCATTTTCTTTTTTTTTTTTCTCTTTCATCTTTTGGAGACACTGAAACCCGTAGGAGGTTAAGGTTCAAACACTGGCAATTTTATCTGTCTACACACCTCGTCTGGCGCGTGAGACCAAGCCTGACTTTTCACACCAAACCAAACGGTGCAGATGATCAGTGTGTTGGCACAGAAACCTTGAAGGTTTGCATCACGTCTGCCACATTCCCCTTGAGGGGGTATTCTAGCCACCTTATGTGCAAGAAACACACACACACGCACGCACACACACTCATTCTGTTGCTTGCACCGTACCATTCTTCCTCACAGCCCAGCAGGAGTCTGTCTTTATCTGTCGTATTGATTAATGAAGCAGACGCAGCGGGGTGTCCTGCAGAGGTGGGAGTCTGGATGAAGGCTGTGAGCTGCATCACCGGCAGCCACACCAGCACCTCCATCACCACCAACAGCCACAACACACACACTGACACACACTCTCTGTCATGTTCTTCTCTCTGTTTCTCACAGCACAACTGTACACGCACACACCCAGAGACACACCCAGCCATGTGACACACACACACACACACAGGCATAACCTCCTGGTAACTCTCAAATATATCATGTCACACAAGTGTGTGTGTGTGTGAGTGTGTGTCTGAGCCGCTAAGACATTCCACACAAACAATGTTTGCATATTAGTCGGGGTTAATGATCCGCTCCCCTCAGAGCTGCCACGGCATGTGTGTGTGTGTGTGTGTGTGTGTGTGTGCGCACATGGTTGTTTTGGCTGAGGGGAAAAGGCCCAGCTCCACCGTGCTGTCTACCCTTACAAATGAGACATGCCCCAGGCACCTTTTCAGGAGCAGTATTTATGCTCTTAAGGAATCGGGTTTTGCCGCAGCAGCAGCAGCAGCAGCAGCAGCAGCAGTAGCTGCGTCTCCACTAACCTCAAGGGCAGGTCGTTATTTTCTTTGCATAAATGAGAAATTACAAGTTGTGTACTCAACTGCTATTTTTACAAATCGCCTGTTGGAATATCGCGTGCCTTCTATTTTATTTCAGTGCTTGTTCTTTCATTGCAGAAATAAAATCCAGAGTTATGACTGTTTTTTTTTCCCCCTCCGCCTTCCTATCTTCACTCCTGAGTTTTAAAATTAGATTCCTCTTGTCCAGACCAGAAGTAGTCCACTGTAAATGACTTTACAGGTCTCAGTCACCGGGGTTGGTGGGTTCAGGGAGGGTGTAGTCCCTCCCGGGCCACAGACCCCATCTGTAATGATAAATGGGCAGTAGAGTAGAGAGATGATAGTTGGAGGGAAGAAGAACGGCTGAAAAATGACTTCAAGACCCCTACTCCACTCCCTTCTCTCCTCCCACATATTTTCCCTCTTGTCTCACCCTCTTCATCCCTCGTTCCTTCCCTTCCTCTCCCCAAGCGTTCAAGTCGAGGCATGTTGCATCCCCGCC